GAAAGGGCTTGATTAAAATTGTGATTCTTTTTTACAGTCCAGATTGAAAAAGAATTACTTATCACAATTTTAGATATCTCTTGATAACGAATACCCATCGCCAAGTAATCGAGCAATCAAACTGTGGTCCGTCTTTTCAGCCAGTTACTGCGTTATGCGAAAAAACATTCTCATCACTCGATTCAATTAAAACCTCACTTTGATTAAAACGAGGCAAGGAAATCGGCTGCACGCGGCTGCAGAGCTATGTTTCGCAAAAACTTCTTTGCCTCGTTCGCAATCTTGTATTGGAAACGAAACAGCAGCAAAATTCTCACAGAAGTTAATTGTGCATTATTTTAATGTGAGAATTTAATGCGTGCCTTTCTCACGCATAATGGGTGCCCAGCACTGCATTTCATTACGCAAATATATGGTATTATTTTATGTTTCACTCATTTTTAATTTTTGGTCGACACATTATTTGATAGTTATTCTTCGTGTGAAATGTTTTAAAGTGTGCTTTTTTGTCTAGAAGCATATTGAGTGCCCGACATTGCATTATAAGACGCAAATATATGTTATTTTTTTCTGTTACGGCCATTTCAATTTTTGCCGGTCCGCGAGTACATTTAATCTAATTTTACCGGTCCGCCAGGGTAGAAAGGTTGGGAACCGCTGGTATAGACAACGAAATGGATCATCAGCTATATTCCACTGTTTTCAAAAGATCCGGAACGTCGCGCAATGTGGATATCATCTATTGGCAGGACTGCTTGGTGTCAAGTCCAGAAGCCATCTTACTCGTGTTTCACTATTTGCGGACAGCACTTCGTTGATGGTGAGTCATGATGTGCCGTTATCAATTTTTTTAAATATTCATAAGCTCCCTCATTTCAATGGAAAGCAGATGACAAACTACTGTTATTGGTAGGCTCAGGTGTAGGCCTACTTGCAGACTTGACTCGTGTAAGGTATTAATCAATAATTGCCATGAGGTATTGTTTCCCTAGTTAGCAGGTAATTAATCTATTAGTAAGTGTGAAAATTTGAATAGATAACTAAAGTTTAACGCCAGTGCTAATGCAAAAAATAACCAGAATTCAATTGAATTATCTATCTGAGAATACGCTAGCCACCGCATCTCTGATCCCCCTGGGAGTTTCACAGGTTCCAATCCCATGCGGGGATAGTTATGTGCGAGGGGATTGCAGCTCTCCTCCCACTAAGTGTGGTTCACACGACCGCTGGTCGATTACGACATCCCCCACCATCAAGTCCATGCTTCTAAAACAAATAACTGGCTAACTAATCCCGACATAGAATGGTAATCGTACGATGTTGCACCTTGCAATCTGTCCCCAACCACAGATAAATTCTATCCTAAAAACTACCCACATTGGTAGGCATAGTTGCGTTTTAAATTGAAAGAAGTCTTCATTAATGGTCAAAAGGTGTTGTCTGATTGTTTTGTTAGGTAGCAGGTAATTTATTACTGATCTGATACACAAACTTGGCACTGTCAAATGATGATTAGTGTTTAATTTATTTTCAGGAAAAAGGGAAGATACCCATTATCAGCTGCTTACATGTCCCATCGATATTTGAATTTTCGCCATCCCCAGAGAAGTAGAGAATAGTTAGAAAAAGGAGGATTTTTAAGAAAGGCAAAAGGCAGGACCATTTCAACAAATTCTGTTAACTTGTATGCGTTGCAATATTAATTCGCAGTTGTTAGCATAAACATTTAATGTGTCTTTCGACTAGACCTACCACACTTTAAAAAAAGCCGCCTACACCCCTTTTCACTAGAACCATAATACTGTAAAATATTTGATAGAAATTACCCCCGAGGCATCATATCTTCCATTTGAAAGGGCTGTGGAGATAGATACATTTTTTACTCTAAATTATGGAATGTTACTTCCAGGTTATCTTATCCTTGCTTATAGATATCTTGAGGTTAGTAACTCCAACTGACCCATGCATGCCACACTGAAAATTCTCTTGTGTACCCATAAAATAAGGCTGTTGGAGCCTTCAGACCTTGAAAACAGTCGAATCTGAGCACGATGGATTCATGTGAAACACGTAATATGCATTTAGAGGCAAAAATATCCCATCCCGAGCAGCACCGATCCACAACCTGCCTATGGAATCAAAACATTAGACAAATTGGTGTACTGTGCGCATTCACAAATTTTTGCGAATCAAGTGTGCCTTTTGACTAAAGAAAATTTAGCATTGAAATGGTCAATCTCAATATCAACCTAGTATCTGCAGATAAAACCAGTTTTTTAAAAATACATTTTTGATGTGCTTTATTTTTCAAATATAATTTATAATTACTGTAAAGTGTGTGATACATTTGGTACTATGAATACTATTTGCAAATTAGCTTGGGTTACACCCCTCTCAAATAAAAGTTTAGACTCTTAAGTCGTATCTCATAATATTCTTTAAACAAAAGGTTGCGGCTAGCAGGCTACCCATCAGAATTTCCTTTCAGATCACAAAGTCGCAATATTACGCCTCGCTTAAGTTTCATTGGCAACTGTATCTGGTTGTGGTATCGGTGTCCAACGTTAGACTGAAACCTTCACGACCAGACCCACCGAAACAATTTTTTTTCTTGATAGGGTCGTCTTGAAGTTGATTTCGTTACAGCACAATGGACACTTTGTCTCCACCAATCCACAGTAATGACAAGTTACTTTGTCATTACGATAAGCATCAATAAATGGATACTGAGGATGTATTATCAAGTCATGCAAGCTGAGGTCTTGTGCCACTGTGGTCTTGTTGCAACTTATACTTTGCCATCCATCTATTCCATGGTCGCACCCATATCTGTTAGATAATGGATACAGATAAGAGTTTTCATAAAATCTAACGATCAAGGAGTGTGAAATTTATGTCCATATCCCACCACAGCCACTAGTCGTAAATGAATTTGATTCCGGGTAGCATATATTTTTTACCAATGTCAATAAAAAGACATTTTGAATCAGTTGTACAAGCACCATTAGGATAGGATTTATCTGGGGGGAGCCAGTTATTTGTTTTCAGAAGCATGGACTTGGATGGTGGGGAATGGTCGTGACCGATCAGAGGTCATGTGAACCACCCTCGGTGGTAGTGGAGCTGCAATCCTCTAGCACATAACTATCCCCGCATGGGATTGAAACCTGTGAAACTACCAGGGTGATCAGAGATGCGGTGGCGAGCGTATTCCTAGATGGCGAATTCAATTGAATTCTGGTTATTTTTTGCATGACCACTGGTGTTAAACTTTAGTTATCTATTCAACCTTTCACACTTAGTAATAGATTACCTGCTAATCAGGGAAACAATACCTTACAGCAATTGATTATTAATTCCTTACTGTCTTACACAAGTCAAGTCTGCAACTAGGCCTACTGATAACCGCCTAGGCCTACTGATAACAGTAGTTTGTCATCTGCTTTCCATTGAAATGAGGAAGCTTGTGAATATTTAAAGAAATTGATAACGGCACACTATCACCACATTTCCACTCACCATCAACGAAGTGCTGTCCGCAAACAGTGAAACACAAGTAAGATGGCTTCTGGACTTGACACCAAGCAGTTCTGCCAATAGGCAATAGATGATATCCACATTGCGCGACGTTCAGGATCTTTTTAAATCAGTGGAATATTACTGAAGATCCATTTCGTTGTCTATACTATACGTACAGCCAACCGAACAACGAAATAACCATTTTCAACAGCCAAACAAAACGCAAACGTATAATCCGACTTGCAACTGACAGGAGCCAAATGGACGTTTTTGTTTTATTGCCGTCCAGTAACAATGTCACGTGACCCGTGCAAGTCCTCTATAGATCTAGACTGGCGGGCCATGTAAATGTGACCTAAAAAGTTACCATTTTATGCACAATATTATAAAAGCAAAAGTGGAAAACAATAAGCTTCGTGCCAAAACTATATATTTAGTCACGATCTCAACAAATTCCTTGGGCTATTTTTTTTAGCTAAGGCATCTAAATATACTTTTAGTTTGGTTGTGGCAGCACTAGGCGGGTCGGATTGAATTGAATGACCCAACGAGGCGGATTTGGCCCGCGGGCAGTAGTTTGCCCACCGCTGAGTTAGGGTATGTACTGAGATTTATAGAGGATAGGATTTACATATTTATCCCGGGGGAGAGGAAAGCCGATAAGACAGCTTATCCATATGACGAACCACGGCCTCTCGTCCGGTTACCATTCCAAGTCGGGTATGGGATTACTTTTACTGTATTGTTTGTTTTCGGAAGCATGGACTTGGTGGTGGAGGAAGCCGTAACCGACCAGCGGTTACGTGAACCACCCAACGACGGCGAGGAGTCCAGCAATCCTCTCGAACATAACCATCCCTGCATGGGATTCGAACCTGCGAACCCACGCAGAGTAGTTAGAGATGCGGTGGCGAGCGTATTCCTAACGCTTAGCCCGTTGAGCCACACCACCGCCGAGGAAAAAGCACAAACATAGGCGTAAATTAGTAAAAACAGAATTGATCATAGACTCGGTAAAAATGACGTGGACTCAAAATCGAATCAGAGTCCGAAAAATGCGTGGATTCTACTCGAATCCGAGTCCGGATCCGAATCTCGGCCCATCCCTAGTATGTATGCCATTGGCAGCTGCTTATTTTGCGTGAAAATTCGTAGTAAATCGTAGTAGGATAAATTAATTATTATGAATAACGATTCATCAATGTTTGATCTTTAGAGACCACTTCACAGATTGGTCACATAATGTGATCAAACAAAAATTAATAGATTGCTCTTAAGCCCTTGAAAAATGAAAATTACAAATTTTCCATACTTAAATGTTTACGTTGAATCATATCACATAGACACAGACTGATGGGGTTGTTATCCCTGTAGGAGAAATAACAATATTAATTTGAATCTTTTTTATCTAACAACTTTACTGATATTTGTGACACCTATAAAAATTGGAAATAGGACAGGCTGTACAGAATGTATGAACATAAATCGAACACGAACTTTATTGAAAATATGGTCTGGAATACCAGAATCGAGGCCAAAATACATCTTGGAAAATAACACAGAAATCCATGATAGATTTAGCTCCGACACATTAGAAACATTTTTGTGAACAGCTTTCAAAAATATTAAGTAAATTAAAACAAAAACAATTAATGTGAAGCCTTATTATTGTCAAATTCTACAGATGTAAGAAACTGGAAGAAAAAAAATCACATTATAATTCATATAAAGTCATTTGAAAACACTGCTTGGAGATTTTATATGCAAAAATTTTATCACAAGTGAAAACAATGCATGGAACATTGAAAAATTCAATAACTACCCAATACTACCCTTTATTATGAGTTCCGTCATGCCATCAAGAAATACTTGATAACTAATTACTGAGCAAAAATTATAAGTGGATGAATTTACATCTCACGGCGATTCATTGATGCTTTCGCAAATGCACAGTGCTCAGATGACAATTTCTTCCCATTTACGATTAACGAGTCTGGTGTATTCACTCGAATACTAGAAAAAGCACACTGTGTAGAATCTTTGTCCAACAACGTCAAATCTACCTTACTGAAGAATGGTTCAGGAACAGCCACAGAATCCCCAATAATGACCCCTTTACCCTGTGCAAGATTATACACAGTGACAGCACAGCATTCTCCATTTGAATCTACCATTGCAAACGTAAAAGGTAGCTGTGCTACATCAGCAAAATTGCAAACCACTTTACCGACAACTAATTTGTCAGCATTTCGACCTTCTTGAAGTTCACTTAATTTGACATTATCAAGTTTTATATTTTTATCTGCAAGACTTTTAGGTGATAGAGGCCCAAGAGCTTTTTCATCAATTGATTTGATGAAACCATGTAAACGTTTGGCTTTTAGTTTTCCTCTTTGTTCGACGAGATTGTTGACTTTTATAAGATAACACATGAGCTCATTTGTCCGGATTTTAGGTTCATTCCATTCAGGGTCAAGTTTCAAAGCTTGTTGCCAGCCTTTAAAAGCTTTAGTATATGATTCCTCATAACGATAAGCTTGAGCCATGTTGAAATGTAAGTCAGGGTTATACGAAGATCTTGTATCTACTTTTTCAGCTTGAAAATATGATGTCATAGCCATTAATAGTGTTTGAGCACTTTGATCACTTGCAAAAAAGAGGGATAGGTATGCATTGCCAAGCACAAACCATGACATGCCATCATTTTTATCTATATCGACAGACATTTTAGCGAGATCAACACTTTTAATCACGTTCGATATAGCTTCTTCTGATTTTGTACATTTTACTTGCCGCAAAACCATAGATAAAGAACGAAGGGCAATTTTATTTTTTTCACGCTTTAGCGATCCTTCGAAGCAATCCTTCGCAGCAAGATTATCTGATTTTTTCCAGAAGGTTTCACCTAATAAATTCCATGCTTCTATCAAGGAAGGATCTCTTTTCACAACTTTCGATAAACAATCTTCACATTCTTTATTGTATTCTGGTAATATGTTTAATGCTCTTCCGTATTGTAACAAATACGTTGTTTTTTCGCATGTAGGTTCCAAGAGTTTAACTTCTTCAAGACTTTTCATGAGCTCAGCTTTGACGAGCTTTTTTTTCTCTCTTGCTTTTTCAATCCCATGGTCACTTATAAAACTATCACTGAATTTTTGCAGTTTGTTTACAATTTCAACCACCTGTTGTTCAGTAGTCATGACGAATATCCAACACGCAAACGTACATCCGTACAACGCAGTCGAAAACTACAATACTCACCAATGTGAATCCAGCAGAAAATTATTCGCAGTTTCAAACCGGTTACCACACGGAATATATTCTCCCCATTATTAAATTACCACGAAGAATGGATACTACGCGGAATTAAATTTCCTTTATGGTAAATGGTTGTCACAAAAGTTGTCGGCAACTTGAGTAACATATTCGACTTCGGCCTCGATTTATCGAGTTCGCATCAAGTTTTTTAAAAATCCTGTTTTTGGCCCATATTCGAAATCCCAAAATCCATAAAATCCTTTTCCCCAACACTATTATATTATATATAATACTTGTCACTACCCATACTATGCAGAATTAATGGTAAAAGTTTTCGGCACTTTGCGGATCATATTTGAAATCGGCATCGAATCACCGAGAAAAAATTTGATATTCCAGCGATTTTTGAAGATCCATATTTTGTTCTGTTGATAAGCATACTTTGGTGTTAGACACTTGACCTAAATTTATAATCTAAATCAGGGGTGTGCAACCTTTTTTACAGGCGGGCCAAATAAATGTAAATGGGTGAAGCCACGGGCCGCAATTAGAAACTCTACCAACGATAGTCTTTGGATACAAAAAAAAATGTAGTTTTTATACGGTATTTCTCTGTTCTTTCTTCTTACCATGTGTACCTTAAAAGAATTTTCTACTTGCGAACGGGTTTCTGTTATTGAAACGAAATTAATATGTTCGTAAGTAGAAAATTTCGTAAGTACGGACGCTCTTTACCCGAAAATATATTAATCCGTTCTAAGCCCCCCACAAAAATCGGACATAATATTTCACTGGGCTAAGCGAAGGCCATGAGGAGCGGGAGATACGGTGGTCGGAGGAGGCGTTAAAGGTTGAATTCTTAGAGAGAACGTAATGTAAGAAAATGAGCACACGCACATGAAATTCAGAATTAGAATTAACTCTCTTTATTTTGCAGTTTAATTTTTTTTTTATTTCATTTTCTCTAGTTTTAACTGTTACGCGTATCATCACAATTTGCTTTTAGATTTATTGCCGAGGCCGCACAAACTATCTCCACAAAATTGAAATATACGATAATAATTGTAAAATAGTTTCAATTAAAAACATCCGTTACGTGTAATAAGCACTTCAAATCAGAGCTAATTCCTATCCTTTTATGTCAACTGTAATTTACTGCCGTGCCGCACACACGACCGCCTTCGATTACGATAAAAAATGAAATATATGTGTTTTAAATCTATGTTTTTAGATTTATTGCCGAGGCCGCACAAATTATCTCCACAAAATTGAAATATACGATAATAATTGTAAAATAGTTTCAAAAACCCTGTTATTTCTAGATGAGACTTATGTTTAATATGAATATGGCTCTAATATGATTGGTCAGTAAGAGTTAACATTCTTTACGTACACGTCTTATTATGGACTTAAAACAAAACCAATAAGACATTTTCGCGCCTTTTTCAAGCATGATATAGGCTTGTCCGAGTGTTTTTGCACCCGGGTTGTGCGTCACTCCTTTTTGGCATATTTCCAATTTTACGAGTTTTATATCTGTAAATATTTGAAAGCTAAGAAACATACAAAGGAATACGTTATTACTTGAAAGAAAGTAATTTGCGCGGCCGAGCGCTCATTTTCCTCGCGTAAACACGCACTAATAATTACCCGCACAATAATAAACAAACAAGAACTGCGTTGACTTCACAAATATACCGCTTCGTTACTCGGCAGTTGTTTGCGCTACACCATTGCCTGTGATATCATTTTGTTAGGAAAACAAACATCAAAACGGCTATAACGCTTGCGAGAGAGTGCCGTTATCATAAGTAAGGTTCAACGGCCATAAAGGAGAGAGGTTCGAATGTTTGTCTACTATCGTCGATGAATTTTAACGCAAAATTTCGTACATGGAGCGGTCCATTAGCGACCTATTGCGTATAGAAAACAATAATACGATTCAAACAAGCCTTCAATGGCCTTTTAAGCCATCCATATTGGTTAGGTGACAAATGCTAATTAAAAATATTTTAAAAATTTGACTAGGGAGTGCGGGTTAGGAAGGTTAAAAACATCCGTTACGTGTAATAAGCACTTCAAATCAGAGCTAATTCCAATCCTTTTATGTCAACTGTAATTTAATGCCGTGCCGCACACACGATCGCCTTCGATTACGATAAAAAATGAAATAATTGTAAAATGTGTTAAATTGAAACGTTGACGGTGGCGCTGTGATATGTGCGCCATATTCGGTATTCTCACAAACACAAAAAACGATATTGGAAGTTCGCGATATTCGAATAATAAATTCGAACTGGACATCCGTGCGTCAAGCACTGCATTAAATCAACCTAAAATTAAGAAATGTCACCACACGTGTTTTTTGTTTTCGGCCTTTCGCATGTTGAAAATCTTACGTTAGCTGAAGCAATATTTTACCGAGAAGAATTTTTGTAAGTTGGATATTTCGTATCCAGAGCCTTTCGTAGGTAGAGTTCCTAGTGTAGTTGCAAGCACAACTTTTTTTTTTATTAATTTTACGGCATTGTTCGGGGTCCTGACAGAAACATGATCTTGCTAACTAGTTTTACTGATATTATACTGAGGTACTGGCGTAGGCTTCCCGACGCAAGGAGATTGAAATTGAACGAAAAGCTCGTTTCGCGGGCACATCCTTCAAAATTGGCACTTCTCCGCGGGCCGCACAATTTTTCTTTGCGGCCGCATTTGGCCCGAGGGTCGCAGTTTGGACACCCCTGATCTAAATCGTTGTCAATAGCTGTCGACAATTAGAGTAACATATTCGAATTCGGCCTCGATTCATCGAGTTCGAATCAAATTTCAGAAAATCCTGTTTTTGACCGGTATTTGAAGTACCGTAAATCATAAAGTCCCGCTTCATTCCCATCCACTTTTATATATATTACTTGTCACTATTTAGAATTAGCCCACTGTTAAAGTTGTCGGTACTTTGCGAATCATATTCGAAGTTGGCACCGAATAATCGAATTCTCACCAAATATGGGAAAATCTGACTTTTCGTTGATTTTTAGTTTACTGAATTTTGTTCTGCTGGTGATCATACTTTGGTGTTAGACAATTGACTTATACTTGTAATCGAAATCGTCATCAAAAGTTGTCGGCAATTAGAGTAAGATATATTCGAATTCGGCCACGATTAATGGATTTTGCATCAAGTTTCAGAAAATCCCATTTTTGGCCCATATTTGAAGTCCCATAATTCATAAAATCTCGCTCTGTTCCCCACCAATATTTAATATATAACACTTATCACTACCTAGAGGCAGAATTAATGTTAGAAGTTGTCGGCACTTTGATCGAATTGGGCATCGAATCATCGAGTTCGCACCAGATATGGCAAAATCTGATTACTATGGTAGCATAGCCAAGGACATTGGTGTTTCATTATGATGTGGTATTTTTCATTCTGTTTTTTTTTCGTAGTAGGCCGAAACCCTGTTTTGGGATTTCTTTGTGTGTACATTTTGTTAGTTACGTGTATACTTTTTGCTATTTACCTGTGTCATCCTAATGCAAATAGATCTTTTTTGGCTCTCTGGTGATTTTACAATCCCTTTTCCTCTTCAAAACAGTGTTCGCGTATTTTCCAGATGAAATGAATATTAAAGCGATAATTTCTCATTATTGCTCAAACGAGATGCCCACATCACAGTGTTGAAAAGAAGTCATTGGCAAATTAATATTGGAACTGAAGGTAGGCCTATTATTTATTATATATATATAATTTCAAATTGGAGGTTAAATAATTTGATGCACTTTTTTCATATACTGCAAATTTATATGATGTATGCCATGGTTTCAGCTATTTCCTCTTTCTTGGAAAAGATCTATGCGAAGTCATTAACTTCGAACAACTTTTTTAGGCATGTTTATCTTAGGTATCGCACCAATTTTATGACGCAATTATGTGTTGAAATATTTACCCAGAAACAAATCTTTTGGAATGGTAGACTATCAAAAGCAGGGTGCACGATTCCATGACAGGCTGACGCTATCACATTTCGGAATACAACATCGATAAGTCATGCTGATGTGGAGAAATATAATACAAATGCAATTCTGAAGGAAAGTCAAACATAGGCACAATTGAGTTTATTGAAAAGCGATTTGTACCATTGTGTTTTGATGACTGCTATAGTCAGCGGGTAGCGCCGGATTAACCATTAAACAATATGAGCACGTGCTTAAGGCACCAGGCAAAGAGGGGCACCACAGAAATTTTAGAGCAGATTTTTATATAGTTTATCGGTTCTTATTAAAATATTACGAGTTCAACAGACGGCTCAAACTTCAAAATGTTCTCCTATTTTTCGTCTCAAGTATCATATTAACCTTCTTTAAAATATACACAGAGGAGTTTTTTTGGACACGAAATGGGCCTATAGGTCGTTTTCTTAAATTTTTTTTTTCTAGTATTCTCCTTGTTGCTGTATTTTTGTTTTAAAAAAATTTCTTTTCTCTTCAACAATTGGAACAATGAATTATTTACACTATGTGGCGGTTCAACGATCGCATTTCAACGATCTAGTGGTCAGCGAAATCGGGAGTTTTTTGATAGAGTAACCAGGGTGGTCCAAACCCTGTAATGTTGATACATTCCGTGCGGCTCACAGACAATTTTAGCGTATATTTGTATCTGATGGAAAAATGTTTTCAAGTTTTTTCAGCTATTCCAACTGGAGTTGGGATCCCGAGATTCAAACCCTTTTTCTGACGCTTTGTGCCATTATTTTAGTAATAAGAGAGTAATGCTCAAATATATGGACACGCATAGCAATTCCCCCAAAATCATATGCGGTGACTCACCAGCAGTGTTCCCTCTAAGGTGTGCGCGTGTGCGCGCGCACACAGCTTTCAGAGGCTGCGCACACGCATAGATTTACTGCGCACAGACGTATTCCGATGTAATGTAACAATGTTCTCGGTTGGCAGGTTGAGAAAGTTTGTTGTTGGCCCACTTATTACCCGGTTAGAACGCCAAAATTTCTACATTGGTT